AAGGTCTTCAGTTTTATGTCTTTGTTGTTCCCTCACAATAAAATAAGGCGTCATATAGGCTTAATAAACTTTCGGCTACTGATGCGCCCTCTTTTCACCTGGAGCGGTAAACGTCATGTCTTCGCTTTCTTGGTCTTGCAATTCCTTTGGTAGCTTCTCTCTGGCATTCAGCAGACATTGTTTGACCTCGTTGAAAAGTTGTCGATGATTTAGTTACTTGACGTTTGGGCAAAGCTGGTCAGTTCTATCGAAGTATGGCTCTTGTGAATTAGTTCATTTTGATTAATATGACAACCTGACGTGGCGTTTCGCTATGCCTTCTCAGTCAACCTCATTTGCTACCTTTACGGAATCGTTTGAACAGCTGTTGATTGCAATCTCTGCAATACTACCGAGTATTAAAGGGTGATTTCATGTGAGGTCACCTGTGTGTTTTCTATCCTGCATCTCACCCTTACCGCTTGTACAATGTGGGTTGGTGACCTAAGGCGAAAGAAAACAAACATGTACTCTTTGTTTCGTTCGCTTCACTTTTTCATTCATCTAATACGGTCATTTGATGGTAATTTGCAGGCAAATCGCTTAGCATGAGGCCATAATATTATCTGATTTTAGATGCAGCGGGTTATGCTTGAGGGCACTTTAACTAGGAAGAGCATCGCAAGGACATAATGTATAATTCTTGATTCATACCTCTTCTAGGTTGAAATTCAGGCCAAGTGCCAGGGCGAGACGGAGTTTACGAAGAAGACGGTATGCAAGGAGCATCCTGTTGGTGGAAAAATTGAATATCGGGTCTCCGTAACTCCTACTCGATGCTTTTCTGGCAAGAAAGAGGTCATCCTCAAAATGGTCGCATTGGAGGAACAGGTTAGTTACTACCTACGCTTGAATCTAGTCAACTCGTCGAATTTTGAATAGTCACCCCCTCCTCCACGAAATAGGCAGTGCTGGAAGTGACATCAGCATGCGACTGTCCTAGTTGTGACTCCCCAGCGATCTCTTATCAAGCCTCCCCACGTTGTCAATACCACGGTCACCTTGTGTGTGGTGCCTGTGTCTGCGACCCTCAGTACTCAGGAGAATTCTGTGAGTGCTCTGCTGAGACCTCGCAACAGGAGGAGATCATGTTACGGCAATGTACACGACCTGGGGATAGTGTGGTGAGTTGCTTCACCTTTCTCATCACTCTTGGCACTGATATTGGTCCAAGGTTATCGTCTTTATTCAATTAGTATTGAAAATTTGTCCTGAGGTGAAAGATCGTTTGAATGTCTCTCCTCCCATAGCCGTGTTCCGACCGTGGACGTTGTGTTTGCGGCCGATGCAAGTGCAACCTGGCGCGCTATATGGGTCTCTTCTGTGAATGTGACCGCCACGGATGTAAACGCGCCTTTGACGACAATCAGGTCTGCGGTGGACCGCAGCGTGGTGAATGCCAGTGCGATGGGACTTGCAAATGCAAACCTGGCTATACCGGCGAGCGTTGTGACTGCATCGATAGCAACGCTAACTGCTACGATCCCAACAACCCTGATGTATGTTCTTGTTGCATTTAATTCATTTTTTTCATTTATGTGACAA